TTGGAGAAGCGGTCATGTGATGCGTGCGGTGAGTTCGGAGTCGAGCTGCATAGAGCGACTTTGCGTCCGATTCAAAGAAAAACTGGAACTAATAAGGGCGAATTAGGAGCTACCGAAGAGAAGCAGCATTCGTGCCGGCTGGCTTTTTATGCGTTTTGTGTTGTGTAACAGCAGTACAAAACGCATATTGTCACGAGGTTGTTTGTGTGTGTGTGTGTTTGTGTTTGTTTGTGTGTGTGTGTGTGTGTGTGTGTCCGCAGCAACTTGTCCGCAACTTTCAGCTCGGGAACCTCAGAAGCTAGAGAGCTGAAAATTTAGGGGAACGTTCTCCACCCACGTGTGACCTCGCAAATTTAAATTCAGCTTCCCCGTACCCGTAGGTAACACGTATGGTCCTATGAAAGTTTTTTACCGGTAAATTAATATCTCGGAAATCATGGAGTCTAGGAGGCTGAAATTTTAGGGTAGTGACCCCTGCCACGCTCCATCTTGCCTATTCAAATTCAGCGTTCCCGCGCTCTTGAGTATCACCTACCGCCTCGTGAAAATTTTAGCGGGTGAACTATTAACTCGGGGATCACGGAAAGGTATTCACCCTTTAAGGTTTCGAATTCAGCTTTCACGCGTCGGTGCGTGAAATTTTTCACTGCTTTCCAGTGTTTGAACTACTTTGGCATAGACTAAAGTACAAAGCAGTGGAAATAATTAACAGGGAATCGTTCGATGGGCTGAATTGCACAAAACGCATGATCGAATCAGCTAGTCTGGTGCGCGTTGCTATTTATTTTAATTGGACTGTTAAAGAAGTTGTCATGACGGAATGCTTTCTCCGTAGTGCTCTGTATGTGAAGGCTGCTTTTCAGGGTCGAATTATGGCCGCTAATTTCGATTCCTCGTTAAATTTTGCACAGGGACAAAGATTTGCCAGCGGCGCAATGTTCAGGTATCATTTGCAGCTCCACCGTTACTGTTACTTGATAGAGTGCGCTTCTTTTTCCCGCATTCTAAAGATTGCGCACCGGTAGGGATATTTCTGTGAAGAAATAATGCTAGCGAAATTGACTCAGTGGTTAATTGAATACCAATTTCTTAGGTTTAAGAGAGCGAGAGAGAGGTTACGTGGGGCACTTTTCAGACTCTTCACTGTTTTCTGAACCCAGATACTCAGGGCAGTATTGGAACTGACAAGAACTGCACTGCTGCACCTGTTTATCAGAAAGTTCCGAGAATTTGAAGTAACCCCATTTAAGGTTAAGTGAAAAATTTAGTTGGGAAATATGCAGATGGATGATGAAAAAGGTCAAAAGGAATAAAAGGAAAGGTATAAATAAAATTGGGATGATAAATTCGGTAAGAAATGTTTCGGTCCATTAACCCCATGTTCGGTGCAACAGTCAAAGGACATAAAATGTGGGCATACGGGGATAGCCTGTTAAAATAGTGAAATACATATCGGACAAATTTTTGTCCCGGCCCTCTCTCCCTGTTCCCCCACCGAAACGTCAGGAGACGCGCTGGAGACTCCTCTTCTGAAGGTATTCGAATAAGTTTTGTCGCTTCGTTGATGTAGAGAGGCTTTATGCAAAGAGCCATCCATTCTCGGCAGTTTATCAATACACACAGGTCACTGTTTCAGGCATCCATCAATTGTGCTTTCTCATGTGGCATTCCGAGCAGCGGCCATTTTTTTC